GTGGGCCCCAAACGCCCCCCCCCCCCCCCCCCCCACACACACATTCCTTCCAGAGGACCCTCCTGCACCCTACATGGACAAGCCTGGCAAATTCCACTTTGGTCACTAGGAAAGGGGTGTAGGACCCCAGTATGAGTTCCCCCTCACCATGTAGGATTGCCCCACCTGCCCTTTGCAGGGGGTGGTGCAGAGTAGCATGGGGGATGGGGGTACAAAGCAGGGAGATCCCTGCACTCCTCCTCTACCTCCTTTCCTGTTGCTGGGGGAGAATCTCTCCATGAGAAGAGAGACACCTGCTGACAGGTATTATGAAATAAATTACTACACTAAACTGGTGTGATTATATTGTTTTGACAAGTATAATATGCAGAACTGTACTATGTGCAGAATTTTTAATTTTTTGGTGGTGAATTCCCTCAGAAGTAAAATAAGGGGTCAGAACCTCAGCTGGTACAAGCTAACACCAACCCATGGGTTGGAAAAGAACTATTCCAGCTGATTCCAGCAATGCTCTGGCACCAACAGTAATAGACTCACTTTGAAATAGTAATAACTGTGTACAGCGCTAAATCCACTCACTCCGATCTCTCATTTCAGGAGCAGTATAGAAGAATTTCAGGACCAAACTTTTTTGCTTTTCAGTGACAGTTGATGAACAAGTCCCGCGGCAGCTGGGCATCTTTCTCTGTTAAGCAAAGGCGCAGGCTGGCAGCGCGTAAAAAGTCACAGCGTGCGATGCAGGCACCATCACTAGTGTTCCTTGGCACCCCAGTCATGCAGTCAAACGCAGCTGTTGCACCATTTCTGCCAACACAGGCAACAGCACTTTTGGGGGGATCACAACCAATCCAACCTAAAGAAGCTTTTGCAGTAACGCAAGCAACCACAGGAGCTACTGCAGTTCCTCACCTTTTGCTGCAGAGCGCCCCTCCAGAGAGAAATGAGGCACTTCAGAAACAGGTAGCAGCAGCCCAACGTGTGGAGTCTGGGAACTATCAAGAGAAGATGAAACAGCAAGGAGGAACCTATGACTTTGAAGAGCAACAGAATAAGGCAAGTTAGGTACTTAGCACATGAGTGAAAATTAATGCTTCACATTTCAGTGCTCAGCTGCTGATTCGTAGGGTTGAATTTTCAGCAATCTGGTCTCAACTTCTCTACACTGGAGTAGCGGACACAGATAAAAACAATTCTGTCTCTGTGATTGTGCATGCCAGTCTAGGCACCAGTCCTGCAAACACCTATGCACATGTTTAACTTTATACATGTGTGTAAATCCCTTTGACTCCTATAGTACTTTGTAAATTTAAGCACATGCATAAATCTTAACACGATCAGGGGCTAGGCGCTCAGTCATGTAATTACTAAGATTTGCACCTGCATCTCCTCTACAGGTATAAAAAAACAAAGGTAGGCAAATTAAATAAAAGGGCCACCGCCTAACTCCAACTTTCCCTAGGACATGTATATCTCGCCCCTGGTATACACTAGGGAGTAAGGTCAAATTAAGATACACAGCTTCAGCTACGTTAATTGCATAGCTTACGCTGAAGTATCTGAACTCGATTTTTGGTGCTGTCCACACTGCAGGAAGTCAAAGGGAGCACACTCTCCCTTACTCCTCATAGAAGCAGGACTACTAATGTGTCTTCACTAGACCCACTATTCTGAACTCTAGAAGATTGACTGTGGCAGCTCTGATCATGTATCATGGGATTTGGGTTTTTGTTCTTTCACATAAAGCTCCAGTGCATTCAATAGAGATACAGAGGCTCTTAATATTTCCTAAGTTTGTTCTTATAATCTCAGTGTTATGCATTTGAGGGTTTTACATTAAAATTAATAAACCAGTTCAGGGATGTTGACTTGCATTTCATCAGCTAATCAAGTAGTTGCTTACACCTCTAAACTAGTTATCTAGTAAGGTTATTAGATAATAATCATTGCAGTTATGATCGGAGATTCAAATATTATTCCCTTGGTGTTAAGAATTGTCGAACTTATCATAGAAGATAGCGATTCTGCATTTGTATTTCCATATATTTATTTCCTGAAACAGTGTTCTTAATTCAGGGTGGAAGATGTGCATTTAAATTTTTATCTATGTACACAGATACCAGATTTTAGATTAAAATAGGAAGCTACCTGCCCTGTCAAACAAACAAAAAAAATACTAATTTTCTCAGAGAGACATGGATACCATAAATGCAGCAACCTGCTTGAGACCTGGAGAATTTGCAAGAAGGAAGAATTTGGAGGAGACAGCAGGATGTCAGTCAATTATGGACACTTAGGGTACGTCTACACTACAGAGTTTTGTCGGAAAAACAGACATTTTTCCGACAAAACCTGAGTTATGTCCACACTACAAGTGCATTCTTTTGACAGTAAATCGAAGGAACAGAGGAGTTTTTCTGGCATTGGTATTTCTCTTTCTACAAGGAAGAAGCCTTTTTGCAAAAGAGCTCTTTTGAAAAAAGGCGCATGTGGATGGGGAGAAGGGAATTCTTTTGGAAGAAGAGGGAAGAGGAAAAAGCACAGGTGCTCTGGTGGCCATTCTGTCTATAGCAATCAAAGCTTTCTTTCAAGAGATCATCCATTCAGTCTGGATGCTATCTTTAGAAAAAGCACATCGCTTTTTCAAGGTACTTTTGCAGTGTGGATGTTCTGTTTTGCAAGAAGTTTTTTCGGAAGAGATCTTCTGAAAAAAGCTTCTTGCGCAAGAAGCCTGCAATCTAGATGTAGCTTATTCCAAGTGTAGCTTATTCCAAGGCTAAATCGAAAGAGCTTATTTTGAAATTTGGTGCTGTTTACACAGCACCAAATTTCAAAATAAAGCACTATTCCGACAAATACCTTAACCCTCGTGGACTAAGAGTTACAGGGATGCTGGAATAGTGCACTGACTAGTTCAGGAAATAGTGAGCGCTTTTACAGACACAGCATTGCTATTTCGGGATACTTCCAGTATCTCAAAAGAGCAACACAGTCTAGACTTACCCTAAGATGTATTTTGAAGAGCACCATGAATAGCAGCTCTAATAAAAAGGCAGTTTGTTTAATAAAAATGGAGTTCTTCTATGTTTATGCATCAGACATTACGTAATTAAATTTAAAAAAAAAATAATCCAGTGCATTTATTCTTTCCCTGGGCACAATATCCTGCCCTGGACATGAGGAGGTAGGTCAAGGATCAACATAAACCAAAAATTATTAGACCATAAAGAAATTACAGTAGATTCTCACTTTTCTTCTGCATTATCTGACTCACATGCAAACTATGTTTCTCCAGAGCACACAGCAACAATATAATAGGGATAATGTACTGAGGTTTCTTATTACTAAGACCATCATTATTTTACTATATATATATTGCAATAAATGTTCTAGCATATTATGATGCACTATAAAAATCTGCAGTTGCCAAAAATAACTGAACAACATACAGTATTGTGTTCTTGCTTTTCCTATGTATTCCCTTACCTGCTAAATTATTTATAGTGGATATTTCAACCATTGCTGCAAATTAGCTAAATTATGCTGAAATGGCAAATGTTCTTACCATATCAAGAATACTTCCGAAGGCAGGTAGCTCAAAGTACAAAGCTAGTGGTATTGTGGTTTGAAGTACATAGCTTGCTGATGTACACTATTTATGGCACAAATATATAACTGCCTGATTCTGTGAAATAAGAGCTCAAATTAAATGAAAGGCTATTCTAACAGAGTGCAGAATACACCTTGAGCAGCCAATATGAGGAGAAGATCCGTCCCTGTATCGATCTCATTGACTCCCTGAGAGCGCTCGGAGTAGAAAAGGACCTGGCCTTGCCAGCAATTGCAGTGATTGGAGACCAGAGTTCTGGAAAAAGCTCCGTTCTAGAAGCTCTGTCTGGAGTTGCTCTTCCCAGAGGCAGTGGTAAGAATTTACCTTTTGGCTTTTCATCTTGGAAATCTGACATTTGCCTAAGTTGCAATGATGTGTTTCTATCTGGCATTCTGTAATTCATGTCACTTTAGAATCACTGAAAGTGGGGTACATAAGAACGGCCATACTGGGTCAGACCAAAGGTCCATCTAGCCCAGTATCTGGTCTTCCAACAGTGGCCAATGCCAGTTATCTGTTCTGTTCATTCCCGCGGGGGGCAATCATCAACTGATCCTTCCCTTGTCACCCATTCCCAGCTTCTCACAACATAAGCAGGAACTCTATTCCTATCCATCCTGGCTTATAAGCATTGATGGACCTATCCTCCAGGAATGTATCTAGTTCTTTTTATAACCCTGTTTAAAGTCCTGGTCTTCACAATGTCCTCTGACAAGGAGTTCCACAGGCTGATGGTGGGTGGTATGAAGAGATACTTCCTTTTGTTTGTTTTAAATCTATTAATTTCACTTGGGTTACATCTAGACTGCTTTCTTCTGCCAAAATATGATATGGAAATTCAGAGCTAATTTGCATATCTTGTCCCAATAATACAATTGGAAGAGGTTTTGTCTAAAAGGAAAGCAGTTCAGATGAGGTTCTTTTGGGGGGGGGAAACCCTTTTTCAAAAGAATCCTTTTTCCTAAAAAATATGAGGTGTGCAGAGTTCTTTTGAAAAAGGGTGTTTTTTTCCCCCAAAAGAACCACATGTAAACTGCTTTCTTTTTTGACAAAACCACTTCCAATTACGTGATTGGAAGATATGCAAATTAGCTCCAAATTTGCATATCTTCTTTCAGCAGAAGAAAGCAGTCTAGATGTAGCCTTGGTGACCAATAGTTCTTGTGTTATAGGAACAAGTAACTTTTCCTTATTCATTTTCTCCATACCAGTCATGATTTTATAGACCTCTATCATATCTCCCCTTAGTCTCTTCTTTTCTAAAATGAAAAGTCCTAGTCTTTAATCTCTCCTCATACAGAAACCATTCTAAACCCTAATTTTTGTTGACCTTTTCTGAACTCTTCCAATATATCTTGAGATGGGATGAATAACTGCATGCATTATACCAGTGATTCCCAATCTTTTTCCCATGGAGGAACCCCTAAAATAATTTTTCATATCCCAAGGAACCCCTACCTATGAAAATGTTTGCTTGGCCAGAAAATGTTGACAGCGGGGAGTGTAATTCCATTACTGCTAAATTATTGTCAAGAAAATTTATTTGTAAAGAGCTGGGGTTTTATATGTCAGCTTACATTGTAAAAAAACAATTTTTTATTTATTTCACAATTTCTCGTGGAACCCCTGACAATGGTCTGCAGAACCTCAGGGTTTTGTGGAACCCTGGTTGGGAAACACTGCATTATACTATGAATTTATATAGAGGCAAAATATTTTCTGTCTTATCTAGTCCTTTCTTAATGATTCCCAACACGCTGTTCACTTTTTTGATTGCAGCTGCACATTGAGTTTTTAGAGAACTATTCACAATGACTCAGGGTTCTTTCTTGAGTGTTAACAGCTAGTTTAGATCAGGGCTTTGGAGCGGAGCCCGGAGCTGGAGCGCGGAGCAGTGGAGCTGCAGGTTTTTGCTGGGAGCTGGAGCAGAGCTGGAGCACAAAAAATCTTGACTGCTCTACTGCTCCAGGTTTTTTTTTTTTTTTTTTCATTTTCAATCCAAAATGAATGATATTTTAGCAAGAAAATCCTAAATGTGCCAAAAAGTTTCAGATTGTATAACAATTGACATTAACATCTACTTTACCACTTTACTTAATAAGTCACAGTTATTCTCACTTTGGCCGAAATCAAGATTTAATGTACAGATACAAAATTACAAAGTTTTTAGGAGATACGTTTTATTAAAGAATCAGATAATTATCAGACATCCGGCAACATTGCAGATTGCGTCCACTTTTGTGCCAAGGTTAGGCGAGTATGTACTCGCATAGATTAGTTAGATAAGTATGTGTTTATCTTCAACCTTGTAACGTGTAGCCTCGTTATTTCCCAACAATTAATGTCGTAGAACAGTGATAGCATGTACTAATGCTACAACACAAC